ATTTGGCCATAGTACAAGCGATCGAAACAACCTTTCGAGGATCGAGAGGTGTAACTTAGGATACAGGTACAGGACTGGTACTATACACATGGACATCTAACAACCTAAGGGGAATACCTTGAGGAATCAAGTCGAGACGAGGAGAGTTTCCTCGAGGACTCTTTGAGACCTCAACTAGACCACCGTCCAACAAGGCTTGATCACATTCGGCCCAGTCGACCTTCCGGGTTGAAGTACCCGATGAAGGGGGTGAAACGTTCACCATCCTACAGCCGGTAATCTCAACTGAGCTTGAGTCGGCTTGGTCAAGGCCCCTGTCGATCAGTCTGTCGAGGGTGTCGGCCGAAGAACTGGAGTTGGAAGCTAAAAGGAAAAGAAACAAAGGCAAAGATCAGACACGGCGATAAGGGTCGGCTTAGAAAAAGTATAAAAAAAAAGTCGACTCAGGGAAAGCACAAAAAGAAAGAGCGAATGTCGATAAGAGTCGACATAATGAGCGCCGGTAAAGGGTTATACACGGTAGCCTAAGTTGCACAATAACAATTTATCTACTTGAAGAATAATTCACGCAAGATCCAACATAACATCTCCAAAAAACAAAACAAAAAACAAAAAAAATTATTGAAGAACACGAAGAACACGGCGACACAGAGATCCGAAAAACCCAGAAAATAGGAGAAAGAAAGAATAAAGTGGATATACTTACACATATCGCCGATCTGACAGGTGGTTAAAGTTCTGCAAACGATAAAAACAACTCGCCGGAAAGATAGCTGGGGCCTTTGATTTGCCGGAGTTGAAGAAGAAATTGAGGAAAAGTGAAAAAAAGTTGAGGAAGAAACCCAATCTTATTTATAGAGAATAGGATGGATGTCAGCCGTTGGATTAAAGGAAAACCAACGACCGTGATAAGGCACAGAATGCGAGGAGTCAGCGGTTGGCATGACGCGCGTCACTGAGAAGATTTGAAATTCGAAATGTATAAAGGCGGCACTGTCAGCCATATCTTGAATAAATAATCGTTAAATAGGAAGATTCGACCCAAATAGTGAGACATGAGAAGTAACCGAGGAAGTCGGGTATCTTAAAGTCGAGAAGAGATAAGGACCGCCCTCCTT